AATCCAAACTGCGCCTAAGAATCTGCCTCATGGCAGATATCAAGTGAACTGTTGGGTCTGGAGGGGGCCCTGAGGCCTTAAACTTCTTGCAGAAGTTCATGTGGGTAGCCATGGCTTCTTCTGTGCTTATGAGCCTCTCAGACCTCACAATCTCATCTTTGATGGCCTCTGCACACAACCCACAAATCCAATGGCCCTGATATCTCTCCCGAACATGATGAATGTAGGCCGGGGTGCATTCCTCCGACAGGCCGCAGCAGTCACATTTAACAAACTCGATTTCGATTTGGGCAATGAGTTTTGTGGCTTGCGGTTGTTGGGTTTCTGGGGCTGGTGGCAGAACCATTGGGTCGCCGAGAATAGTTGCAGACAATGCCATTATAAACCCTGCAAACAATACAAACAATCCAAACAAGATTGCCAAAATCATGAGTTCTCTGACTGCAAATGGAATTGGTTGATGGCAAGACGCAAAATCTTGTGTTCTTTTTTTATGCTGCTCTGTTTGGTGAGGAAAAACGGAAAGGTTAAGTGTCTACTTGGTTGTCACAAAAACAGAAAACTGAAATTATTTATGTTTCTTAATGTTGACAACGACAAAAGAAGCACAAAAATTTGTGTTTGTGTGTGTGGGTTTTAGGTTGTACAGTTACACTTTCCGAAAGAAAACAGAATTATGGTTTGGATAACAAAAGGATGAGCTTCTTAGCAAAACCTAAAAAAAACACAGAGGTGAGCTGGAAACCGCATTTGGAACAAGCTGTACTTCCAACCATGCTCTTCAATTAGCTTTGTTGGTTTTAAAAAATTATCAAAAGATAGAAAATATAAAATTTTGGGTTCTGAATATTGAAAAAAACACCTCTTTTCTTTGGAAATCAATCCAATCATATCCTTTACTTTTGTGAAACTCCACTCTCTTTCAAAAGTGAAAACAGAGCAGAAGCACAAAAACAAGTCAAGAGAATTACCAGTAGAAGAAGCAGATCAAAATTGAATCCCAACGTTTTTTTTTTTTTTTATATAGCTTTTTCTCTCAACTTTCTGCTAATTTGGGTTTGTTTATGCGTATCTTTTATCGCTCTTTCTCCCAAGCTCCTTCTTCCACCTTCTCTTCCGCAGCAAAGAAAATGTCAGACATGAAAACCATTTCCAAGAAGTCTTCAAACCTCCAAACAAGCCCTTTTCTGGCTTTCTCAAACTTGCCAAAGCTAGCTCCTCCCTGATGATCAAGACTCAAACTTTGATCTCTTTTCTTCTTTTGTCTTTGTTTTCTGCAAGAACCCAACTCTTGTTCTGAGCAAGCAAAGAGATTGCTTTTTGTTTCTCCCACGCAAAATCTGCTATTAAATCATATGTGAATAGTAGAGAACTAGAGAGATGTAGAGAGAGAAACGCAAACACTTTCTAGAGAGTAGAGAGAGAGGACCCAATGATTGAAGGCTTAAGGGGCAGGACTACAAGTCTACAAAGTATAATCCACGTCAGCGACATTTGCTGTCCCGGAATTCTGACCGTTGATTATTGGATTGCCAACTAAGCATTATCATGTTTTCAGAATATTCTTCTTTTCTTAGCCAATATGTGCTGTTTGAAGGCTTTTCTAATTTCTTTCGTGCTATTTTAAACCAATGAATGGCATCCACGTGTAGATCAAAAACGTGTAAGCTACATGTTTGATTGTCTGCTTCCTCCCACAAGTCTTTTTTTAAAATTAATTTTTTCAGGTTTTCTGCTTAAACTTCCAGAAGTCTTTCCAAATCAAATTACTGCAAGGCTTTCGTATTGTCTGGGTACAAAACACAGCCTAATTGGGTCTTCCAGGCTTACGCTAGTTTTGGTCATTTCACATTAATTTGAGCTAACAAACAATTTTGTTTTCAGACTGTCTGTTTCTTCACTATGGGGAGATAAATGAGTAATTATTAGCATGTGAGGGGTGGGATGGGAAGTCAGAGATTAGTTAAAGATACCTAACTAATATATATTTTTGGGCAATGATTTCCCCACCCCTATTTTATCCACTTACACTCCTTTTTTAGTTATAAAAAAGGAGTGTAAGTGGATAAAATAGGAGAAAATGGAGTGGGGAAATCACCACTCATATTTTTAAAACAAAACTCAGAGAAGATGAAGAATTAGAGTCAAACTCTCTTACGCTATCGGAATTATAAAGCCGTACATATTTTGCTCACAGTAACAGGAAAAAGTACAATTCTAGACTATAAGGTTTAGTGATTAATCCTATATCGAAATAAATCCTACATGACAGTAAAATTGAAATCTATTAGATATTCATTCAAAAAGAAAAATATTAAACTAGGGTATGATATATAGTGTATTGAAATGGAAACTTAGATTTTATTATTATTATTATTATTATTTTTATGTGGTTGATGGCTGGCCTTTAGATCTAACGAAGTTAAAATAGTAAAGATAAAAAGTAAGATCATGGCAATTCCCTTTATATAATTTCTAATTAACAATTTATAGAAACAACATGAAAATGAATATGCGATGTTAAATTGTATAACGATTGTTGATTGTTGTTGATGTACAAGTCTTATCGTGAGACTTATATCTATTCAGTATTGATTCATATAGGTTTATGATTTACAACCATTGATATGCGCGTGAGCTATCACATGTCTAACTTGTAAGTGAATAAGAATTAAGAGGTGGGGCTTTTGAATATGATGTGCACAGTGATGTGATCACGCCTTAATTATTGGAGTTTCATATTGAACACAAGTGCATCTTACGCAACCCCCTCTTTAGCCCCCACTCCTTTAATTTTTGAAGCACGAGGGTATTCCTATATTACCTGGTTGGCCCTTCTTCATGATCAATTTGACAATCTGATTGTTTTGGTAATCAAAGGCCAACCAATCGCCATCAAAATTACATCTAATTTTGTTTTCAAAAATAATGAATGGACCAAGCTCTGCCAAACCTCAAAATTTAAAAGAGACTTGTGAAATTATTGCTGATATCGATCACGAAAGAGACCTTTTTTTTTTTTTTCCCCAAGTGATTATTATTATGACACCTTGCAAGAATAGATAGGCAACCCACCAAACGATCTGTTCCTATCACAAAAACAAGGACCATATTTGTTGCTCCTCTTAATGCCTCATTGAAGGACACAGAGGAACTGCATCTGCACTGCATGCATGCCCACAAGTTCACATGGGCACATATATAAATTTCACACTCGTTATATATTTTATATGCATGCATGTTTCACATGCTAGCCTAGGACAATTTGGCATCAATATACATTATCCAAAGTAGGAGATATATATACCTAAACGATAACGCTTCGGATGATTGAAATACAATATAGAATAAAAAGAAATATTAGATTGGGTATCAACATATGTGATGTCAAGCTAGCTTTCTGGGTTTTGTTGAATGGGCAACTAGAGCCAATTGGCTTGGCATCCATAATTATCCAATGCATACAATGAAATATTCTTGTGGGTGACGTGGTGACTAATTGAAATGAAATTCTGACATGGCATCTGAGTCACTAGCTACGTGTTGCACACTAATCAAGTTAGTTAAATTATCCAAGTGGGCCATTAACATAATTTTAATTGCCTTTTTTTTCTTCTTTCTTTTTGGTTTCTCATCATTTTACCATTCTAATTGTGTTTTTTTGTGTGGCATGAATTGATTAAAAAAAAAAACTCAAACAAATGCATACAGTATTTTGTTATTCGTTTATAAATGCATGAAGGAAGAAATGCAAGGTGTAGGAAGAAAAACTATACATGAGTAAAATAAAAGAAATAAAACTCCCATAATGTGGTTGCATTGCATCACCATCCATCATACCACAAAAAGTAATTGGCCTTTAAGTTTCATTTCATGGGGTAGAAGAAGACCTTTGTTTTGTTCCTTTGGCAAAGTGGCAAAGTTGTGATCGATCTCGACAAAGAAATCACCACTCGACAAAGAAATCACCAAAAGCATCATCAAGTATAAATTACATCCCTATTAATATAAAATAATAAAAGCTCAAAGATTTATTGAGTTAATTAAAGTTCGGTCGACCATCACTTCCATATTTAACTGTTGTGTAGCAATAAATGAAGAAAAATGAATGAAGATCTTCAAACGATCGAATGATGTAAGCATAGAGAGTGACTCATCATATATTAACAATCACACAAACTTCAATAGAAATACAAAATTCTCTACTACTCTTTTCTGTTTTGATGTCTAAAATATGAAATAGTTGCTTCATATATAAATCAAGTATTTGTGATAATTACTATGAGTTATGGTCAACAAGTTCAAAATCATGATTGTGTGTGTGTGTTTTTTAATTAATGGAGAGCAGATGATTCGAATTCGGGATCTACTTTCAGTATTAGGAACATAAGTACCATAAGATCACAAACTAGTTCATAAACCAAAATTGTTTTTTGAATTTGTAATCCTTAATTATAGAAAAATTTTGTTTAACATCGACTCTTCTTTTCTTTTTGTTTTTTTATTTATTTGTATTTTCAAAACTCTGTTACATATTTGTGCCTTTCAAATGAAGTTGTATTTTTATTTTTATCTTTCTTAATTGAGGTTTTGGGTTATGTATATATAAATATATAAATCAACGTTGGCTTGGCACAATGCATTAAATATAAACCTCTAAATATCGGCAAAAACAAACAAGCTAATCAATTGATTAATAAAATTTCTGGTGGAAGTCGGCATGATATTTGGACTTTTTCTCTTAAAGAGTTGGATTTGACGTGGAACTCCAAATCCTCATTCAGCTTTTACAAGTGGATTTCCTTTCTGGGATTCTTGGTCTATGATTAATTTAAATTATTGTCCGATTAGTGCATCAATTATTCAATCCTGATGTGCAAATAAAAAATGTAAAAAATGTCAATCCTGATGTATTCGAATATTTGCAAAAATATTTACATTCCCATATTGCCTACTTCTAAAATCATAAAGAAGATGTTTCAATAACAAAACCAAGATGGTAAACCTCTGAGTGCGTTTCCCTGGCTGAAAATAAGTAAGCCCAACAGGGCAACCACAAAGAGGACATGTTATAATCCACAAGTTCAACAGAGAAATACTAAAACTTGCCTGCCAACTAATTAAAAGAAAAAATGAACCAATTTACAGAAGACGAGGATTTTGGAAACTGTATACAGGTTTAAGTGATAAAGAGGCAGCCAAATGAATGTTTTTATCCCTAGACTGCGCCACGCTATCACCGTTCTTCCTACACTGCGGCAAAGAAATGAAAGATGGTTAACGTCTCTATGCAGCTCAGATTCAAAATCAATGGGGTCAAAATTCCAAGTCCGGTGCAATGCATATACACAGTATAATTCCAATCTCCCTCTCCCTATAACACTACATCTCCAGTTGAAGCTATTTCTTCCTCGAGTTCTTTAATTAGTTTTTCAATCTGTCTTCTATAAACTGGCATGAAGTGATCACTAATCATGGTTTGTGACAACCTCAGCTTACTGTACAGAGATCTTGGAGTGAGGAAAATACCAACCCTAGTCTCTTCTGGCTGCTCATTACCCGATGCACTTGAGCTAGGGCTACCACTTTCACACTCAGGCCCACCATGGTGAAGCATAACAATATGCATGATTTTCCCAGCAGGAAAAAATCTGTGTGCTTCCTTCATATCAGGGGCAGAGCTCTCTGGCTGACCATCACTTACCTCTGCAATTGCCGCTTCTTCCTCTTCCCTTATTTCATTTTCCACATTCCTTATTTCAGTTGCCACATCAGCCTCCTCACTTTCTGTTCTATCATAAAGCTCATGCTCAAGGTGCTGCCACAATTCAACTTCGGTCATGCGGTCTTCATGTCCATCACGGTCCATAAGCCTCTCACCTTCATTACCGACATCACCATCAGTGCCTGGACGCATTCCATCAGAATAAGAACAACCAACCTCTGAAGTCCATTCCATTCCTACAGATGAAGATACAGGAAGATCAATGGTTTCAATGCCAGTTGAGCTTGTCATTCTCTTTGGGGATGTAAGGAGAGGCTCAGAAGTCTCTTTGTTTCTGCCAGAGGATCCTGGAGAACTTCCCTCATCATTTGAGTTTGAATGAACAGCTGAGGCTCGGTGACGAGGGGCCATGCACGACCATGACGACAAATTAAGTGAAGGACGAGTCCATGCTGCTTGAGCCATGCTCTGGGCTCTTCTCATAACAACCTGTGAAATTAGAAAGATTCACAAGCCAACCAAATGATTAGATCGAAGAGGAATATAGGTTTCAACCACCAAATAACATGGTTGATAGCTTCTATAACAAGAATGTCACAAGACACGATAAAGACTAAAAATAATATTCGATTTCTTACAAGAAGGTTCAGAAAGGAAAAGAAGATGGTGTGCAGCAAAATTACATTAGAAAGACAAAAGGCTACCTGTGTGCCATTGGAAACAGGGCGCAGAATTGCCCCTGCCCCAGCAACTTTTGCTTTAGCACTGGCAATGGACGGAAGCCGCGAACCCAAAGCTGAGGCAGAACGATAGACAGTGCTAAGGATTCTTGTCTGCTCGATCTGATTTCTCAAATCATTCAACCAAGCAGATGCTGTCACCTGTAAAAAGAAATAAATTGAATAAAAGAATATATTAGAAATTAACACATATTAGAAGCATGACAGGTATATCAGCATTAGCAATGTTCCACAAGAACTATAGCAAGTATGCAAGCCTGTCAAGTACCAACAAGCCAGAGATCCAACTACTAGCACAGGATGGCTGTGTAGGAAAACTTATTGAAGCTAATAAGCTTTCGTGTGAAAAATAATAATAACAATAATAATAAATTGGGTATACTTGACAAATATAATATCTCCGTGTATTATAAATGAGAAAAGAGCATGCTAGGAGTAAAAGGAATTCCTGCATGCATTTTTTTTTCAACTTCATGGTCGTAATTTGACTAAAATCACAAGTTAGAGCACAAAATATTTAGAACCAAAAAAGTACAGTAAAAAAGCTTCTATCAGCAGCAACAATATAAGTTCAGTACTACACACTTTTTCCAAATCAATTATAAGGAAAACATAGCAATTGCTCAAGAAGCACTCTCTCATCAAAAGCAACATGATTTAATTAACCAGAGTTTAGAACATAACCTCAGCACGTAAATCATCCACCGATGCAGCAGAGAATGTGGGCACCAAGTCAGCTCCATTAATAACGGAAGTAATAAAATCACCACCTGATTCTGCCAACTCCCATGTCATGCAGGCAGCTGCAATGTATATCAAGTCATCACTAATAGAAATACTCAACCAAACAATTTACACCATGCTAAACTAAACAAACATCAGGATTCAGAACAAAATAATACAAGACAGAACTTAAGAAAGGAACTAGACTTGATATGTAGCACTGAAATTAATATTAGGCCATGGCATGTAAGGAACACCAACCTGGAGCAAATGTCACACAGGTGGTTGTTGAAAGTTCTTTCTGCTCTCGCAATATATATGTTAGAAGTGCTGCTGTGCCTCCACCCAAAGAATGCCCTACAATCTGTCAGAAACCATTACTTTTGATAAATTTCTTAATCTTATGGACCATAATATTGTTGGAAGCCACCAAAGCGATTAAGAAGAGACAACGATAGTAAGTTCAATCAAGTTCCAAGAAAGAACAGTAGCTGGTCATATGGTATATAATTTACGTAAAGAATGATACAGTTTTTTTTTTTTTTTTGGACGAAAAAGAATGATACAGTTAACAGTAGACTCTGCTGAAAATAACTAATCAACCAATTCTCCACCGAGATCTGCATCAGCAAGGCTGCTACAGGGACACAGAGTACAGATGCCAATAAAATATCTGATACTGAAAAGTTTAAGAACCAAGAAGACTCCTACAAAAGTATACTTTCTAGAAACTACTACATCACACAAAAGATATCTTGACACAAAGATAAGAAATAAAAGCACAGTATCGTATATGAAAACAAGAAATTAAGTAGTCAATTAATTTATCTTCATAAACTGTCTACTAATTGATTTGTTAAGATGACTAGTAGCAGAAAGAACATCCCATCAATACCATTACCTTAAGTTCATAACCAGGATATTGGTCAAGTGCTTCTAGAAGGCAGGGTTTCGCAAGCTTAGCAATCCATCTAGCAGCAGCAACCATTCCACAATGCGCATAACCCAAAACTAAATTACTGACTCCTCCCTCATGTACAACACTGTGATGGAATGGTACAACAGCTCCCGTTGCAGCCGTCAGAGTGTCCTTAATACTATGGGTTCCACGAATCAGCAAGAGAAAACATTTTTCATTATGATCAACAAGAATTGTAAAAGCAGGCTTCAAGATCTGCAGCAGAAAGTATATAGACGATTTGATATTAATGGATAGATGCGGCTCAACTACTTTCCAATACCGTTGACAGTAAAATCACGCACAAAGGCACTGGCAAGCAATCAGTACAACAGTAACACTATTTAAATTAACATACTTACTCCTGCTTTGGGTTCCTGAAGAAGAACATTCTCTACGGAATAGCCCGTCTCCTCTAAAAACAAAGGAAAAGGTTTCTTTGAAAAATGCCAACACAGTGTCAGCAAGTTTAAGAGGTATTTGAGTTCAGCAATTATTTGAGATCCTTTTAGCTGTTGACTGTCTATTCCACCAAATACACCATCAACATTCAAGTTTCCCTGCAACGTACAGACAGTATAGTATCAAATATCATTCATCCAAACCAAAAAATTAAAATAAAATAAATTCATTCGCCTGGTATAAACATGAAAAACTAATTTAACAATTTGGAACAAACAATAAAATCTGTCATCTCCAGATTGGCAAACAACATTTGAACTCAAAAATGCCAGTTTCATTGTCATTAATATCCTAAAGAATAATAGAGTAATGATTTTTAAAGCTGCAAAATATAAAGTCACATTTTTCACCAATTCTATTTCTAACAACCACTCCCCTATGTGCCGATCGCTAGCGCATCCAGGGCACCAGCGCCCAGCTCGGTTGCAGAGGCCTAACTCTCAGTTAGAATGAAGCTTTTCATAAATCAACCACCTTTTTTTCCTTCTCTAGATTGAGTATTATATTCAGAAAATAGATATATGTAAATGAGTTGTGCAAAAGCAATAACCATCTATATTCATGAAAAAGACCAACAAAGTAGTGCAGAACCCACAACGGTAATCATGAAATCAACATAACCACTGAATTCGGCACATTAACAGAGAACCCCACAAGCAATAAACATGAAATCTAAGCAAACACTGAATTCAGCACAGGAACGAAACGATGGCCATGAAAGCATTTTACCTGCCTCTTCAGAAGAAAGTTGATTCCAAATGCCAAATCCCCTATAGGCCACTTCCCCAAAGTCTCGGAGTAAGTAAACCTAAGAGTCTCTGACAAGGTCGAGATGGTCTCCAACCATGTAGCCGGGGCTTGAATTAACCTATGCGAAACCCGTTCAATTCCCAAAGGACCCTGATTTGGCACACTATCATCCCCATTTTCGTCATCATCACCGCCAGTTGTGGGGGACTGTAACTTACGGTTCAATGTATAATACAACAAGGCAGCTGCACCGGCTGCGGTGGCCATAGTTGCAGTTGCCATTAGCTTACTATCCCTATAAATATTGAAATCCAAACAGCAATTAACAAATATATAAGCAAGACTCGTTTTTTACTCAACCTCTCAAGCTAAAAACACCAAATAAATCAAAATTGCATTACTTTCTTGTGCTTTTGCACCTAATTTTCGCTTAATTACCCAAAGATCAACGTTTTTCCTCAAGAAAAGTATACAGAACCGGAAAATAAAAACGTTAAGAGGCAAAAGATTGCACCGAACCTGATTAAATTGATAAATTGGGTTAACGGAAAACCCCTAAAAATCCGAAATTTGCGAGACATTTGCGAGAGCAGGAGGATTTGATGCTATGAGGAAGAGGAAGCGAAAGCATACCTGAAGAGATCGATTTTGGCGTAAATTATTGGGAATTAATATCTCTTCGTCTGTAAGGCATCAAAAAGATTATTCTCTGTGACAAAGAGAACGAGACCCCGATTATTCTTCGGTTTTCCTTTTTGTTTGTGAAAGACTCGAGAGAGCTTTTGCGCAGTTTTGAAGCAAAACGCCGAGGCAACGACGTAGTTTTGTAGGGGTTGGGGCGAGGGGGACACGTGGCTGGCAGGGAAAGA